CAGGGGAAAGGAAAGAAGGGAAAGGAAAAATGCTGAGAAATGGAAAAAATGGAAATAAAGTCTTTGTAAATAGGGAAGGGTGGAGGGTGTGAAAGGAGGGCTAGGAATGGGGAAAAAATAAGAACCAAGATGCACTATGTAAATGTACAATTCCCAATGAGAAATGTAATTGTGTTGTATACCTACAATATACCAATACAAGAATTTAATACAAAAAAATAATAATAATGAAGCCAAACTCTCACCAAGGAGACAGAAGGGGTTGTTCATACAAGTATAAGGAAAACTGTCAACATACATAAAAGTCTCACCAATTCAAACTATGCATTGCTAATTTGTGCTTTTTGATCAGATTTCAAGGTGCTTATTTTGTAATTGATACAAAAGAACATTTTGTGTATGCTGAAGAGACATATTCTAGAATTAGTCTGCCAAGGTTTGAATCCAGACTTTGGGATTTATTACCAAAAACTTGTGGTGGCCACTTGACCTTTCTTTGCTAATTTTCTCATAAGGAAAATGTAGATAATATTAATATCTATTCTCATCATCACCCCACATAATCCTGCCTAACATCCTACCCCAAAGACAGGAGATTAAAGATTTCCTGTCTGAGAAGAGTAACTAATCCAAAGAACAGACTCACAGATATTTAATATTATTGGCTGTCAATTCTGTTTCCTTTGGGGATGTGAGCTCAGTGGAAATTTTCAAAGAGTTCATTCTCATTCCCCTACTGCAATATTCCTAAGGTGCAACAGTCTTGAATAAAGTCTCCCTCTTATTTTAACAAACAGCAGAATACTTTCTTCTTAACTCAACATGAAATATAAAAAGTAGTAGTATAAGCTTCTGTTTATAAACATGGAGGTAGGTAGATAACAGAAAAAACAAAAAATGAAAGACTGCATCTGATAATGGTGAACATTGAAATGACATAAGAAACCACTGTTTTTCATTATAAGATCTTATAGAATTACAAGATTTCATAAACCATGTATTTATGTTACTTTGATGAAAATGAAAACTAAAACCATCAACATGAACACTTCAAAAAAATCTCATCCCTTTTAAGTACTCCCTATGTATTATTTCATTTGTTAAATATTTGTTATTATTTTAGTGAATGGAGCTGTAATAAGAGATAAACATACAAATATTTTCAGGTCTTGATGTGGGTTGATTCTGAACGACAATAAGAGAAAGTCAAAAACAATTCCTATATTTAACTTAAATGACTGAGTGAACATAGAGTTACCAAATAATGCAGAAATTACATGAAGAAGTTGAAGCTTGTAGGCAGGAGTACTGGTGACAAGTGGCTTTGAATATGATGCTTAAGACACCATATGCAAGAACTATCCCATGTAGTATTAGAACTACTAACCATAAGACATCTCCCTTCTCCTTTCAAATTCCTCTATTCTGCTAATGCATAAGCAATTTTTTGAGGTAAAAATTATTTATAGTTAAAATATGTTCAAAATTTTTGAAGAATTTATTGAAATAGAGACTCAGCCAATTTTTAGTACACTGGGCCCTGTCAGAAGCAATTCTAAGTCTTTAGAAGAACACTTCAAAATCAACTCTCTAATTCTTAAGGGATAAAAGAGCAGAATTATTTGAGAATAAGTTTTTCATAAAATATAGACTAAAGGTCTAATAAAATATTCACTTGTATAAGAATATTCTGTGGGGTGACTATTTTAAGTCCGATTTTAAAGAATATTCCTGAAGTTGGAAAATATTTTCCTTCAGATTAGCTCATTCTGTGTATCATCTATCTTTGTTGTATGTTATACAGTGAAAAGAAGCAACCTCCTTTCTAATAATTCAGAAGGAAATTCTGTTTCATCATTCAAATAACTCATACTATTGATTACTATATTTACAAACTACTGAGATATCTGTGCCACTTCTTTTGCTGAAGTGATGCTCATATTTTTATTAAAATAACCAAAATATTTTAACTGTTGGGGAAAAAGAATAAGTATACAGTAACAAGATAACATAAATTCAAGAATTATCATTATCTTCATTATAAGTTTTTTTAAAGTGTGAAAAGAATGATTAAAAAATACTGTATGTATTTAAATTAAAATTACTGTAAAAGACACATTGTCATTCCTACCCCTCACAATATCCCTCCTCCCTCACAACATTTTTATCCTATTAGCCCATCATTCTTGCCACTTTCTGAAGCAGTTATGGAAGTCCTTTTTTAAGAGAATTTTTACAAGATGTGACAACAAAGTGGATACTGTTGCTGAGTACCATCCAACAGAAAGGCAGGCTCTTAAAAACATTGCAGTGTCCTCATCCACCTTTCTCACCAGGCCACTTTTGGCTCTTCCTGAAGATAAAGTGACTATGACAGGAAAACATTTTCAACTGATTCAGGACATCAAGGCAGCCACAACAGTGCAAATAATGACACTCACAAAAGAGGATTTCCAGAACTATGGAAGGAGGTGGTAAGACTGACAGAACAAGTGGGTTTGGAGTGAGGTGGAGTTTTTTGAGGGAGATTAAAGTCAAAGTGTCTTATACAATAATAATTTTTTAAAACATTTAAACATTCACTATATTTTTATTATACCTCATAAGTATTAATTATTGTAGTGAGAATCTTTTTTTGATTGCCTACAGAATTAACTAAGCACTAATTGACTTTAGCAGATTTTGAAGCATTTTGAAAATTTTTTTGCAAAAGTGATTGAAAGAAAATACTTTTATTTTCAAAATCATTCCACACAACAGTGAAATTTGGTGGGAGGTGTGGGTGGTTGTTTACCTGGATGTGCCACTGAGCTCTGGTGAAGGGCTCTTTTCACTCCAGCTCTCATAAAAGATTTGCCTTTGAAGCCTTCAACAGGGCTTCACATAAAAAGGAAGCAAAGAGAGTACTTACAGATGAGATGAATTAAAACTTAAGTGTCCATTAAACAGGGAGTGAACAGCTAAGCTAGAGTTCAACAAGACAACAGGATGTGATCTCTATAGCAGCTGTCAATTAAGAATTATGAAGCTCAGGGTATGGTTCAGCTGTAGAGCCCTTGCCAAATATGTTCAAGGCCCTGGGCTGCATTCTCATCCTCAGGAAAAAAAATTAAAAAGAACCAAAGAAGGCATAATGATACTACCAAACCATTGTCTTTAGATATGTTGGTCATATTTATGATTGTGTATATATCGTTTTCTAAATTGAAGGGTATTCCATTTACAGACATATTTCTGCTTTACATAAAAAATAAAATAAAAGAAGCAAGCTGGTAAAGACAAAATATTCCTTTTACTACTGCTTCTTGTCAGTAAGACTGTCAAATTCTAGGGCCAGGGATTTGGCTCAGTGGTTCTGCTGCCTGCCTTGCAAGCACAAGGACCTGAGTTTGATCCCTGGTACCAAAAAAAAAAAAAAAAGACTGTCAAATTCTTAAATAATGCATAATAAAATGCATTGTAATTAGTATTTTACTTAATCAAACAGTTATCTGTTGTTATTGTGTTACCCACTTGTCTTTAAATTCATTTTCTGGTTTTACAGATAGAATACTAAGGAATTAAAATAACTGATTATTGAATTCTAGACTCAGAAGAGTACATGTACCAAAAATACTTAGCAAAATTGAATAATGTCCAATAATTATCTGTAAGTACTTAAGTAATTCATGGTTTGAAATGTTTTTATGAAATAAATTAGATATGAAAATTTAATAAAAGTTGAATGTACTGTTTGATCTAATTCAATTCAAAAAGTTCAAAGTACCTACACTACTTAAGATTTTTTTGGTGTGCTTGAGCAGCTGCCGCTGAGTCCGGACTTTGCAGCAACGTGCCCCGACGCCCGCCCAACGTGCACTCCCGGTTCCTTTTGGTTCGAAGTCCAAGATGGCCAGCCTCAAGGATCAGCTGATCATGAATCTCCTTAAGGAAGAGCAGGTCCCCCAGAATAAGATTACAGTTGTCGGGGTTGGTGCTGTGGGCATGGCCTGCACCATCAGTATCTTAATGAAGGACTTGGCAGATGAACTTCCTCTTGTTGATGTCATAGAAGACAAATTGAAAGGAGAGATGATGGATCTCCAACATGGCAGCCTTTTCCTTAGAACACCAAAGATTGTCTCTAGCAAAGACTATAATATAACTGCAAACTCTAAACTGGTTATTATCACAGCTGGGGCACATCAGCAAGAGGGAGAAAGCCGTCTTAATTTGGTACAGCGTAATGTGAACATCTTTAAGTTCATCATTCCTAATATTGTAAAGTACAGCCCAAACTACAAGTTGCTTATTGTTTCCATTCCAGTGGATATCTTGACCTATGTGGCTTGGAAGATAAGTGGCTTTCCCAAAAACCGTGTGATTGGCAGTGGCTGCAATGTGGATTCAGCCCGGTTCCAGTACCTGATGGGGGAAAGGCTGGGGTTTCACCCCCTGAGCTGCCATGGATGGGTCCTCGGGGAGCATGGAGACTCCAGTGTGCCTGTGTGGAGTGGAGTAAATGTTGCTGGCATCTCCCTGAAGAATCTGCACCCCGAGTTAGGAACTGATGGGGATAAAGAGCATTGGAAAGAGGTTCACAAACAGGTGATTGACAGTGCTTATGAAGTGATCAAACTCAAAGGCTACACATCCTGGGCCATCAGACTGTCTGTGGCAGATTTGGGAGAAAGTATAATGAAGAATCTCAGGAGAGTGCATCCAATTTCTACCATGATTAAGGGTCTCTATGGAATAAAGGATGAAGTCTTCCTTAGTGTTCCTTGTATCTTGGGACAAAATGGGATCTCAGATGTTGTGAAGGTGACCCTGACTCCTGAGGAAGAGGTCTGTCTGAAGAAGAGTCCAGATACGCTGTGGGCAATCCAGAAAGAGCTGCAGTTTTAAAGTCTTCCAGTGTCACACCACTTTGCTGTCAGGCTGCAAGAGGATTTGGTTGGAGGTTGTGCATGTTGTCCTTTTTACCTGCTCTGTGGTTGGAGCAGTAGTATTAAGATGGCCTGGAAAAAACATCAGTTCCCCAAGTTAGAAATAGAAGTGGTGGGCTGGGGATTTAGCTCAGTGGTTTCACTGCTTGCTGAGGAAGCGCAAGGATCCGAGTTTGATCCCCAGTACCAAAAAAAAGAAAAAAAGAATAGAAATTGTTCACAGAACCCCACAGTTCTGTCCTGATGCCAGATGGCACTTGTATAGTCTTAACCTGGTTAGTATAAAGCAGCCCCACCATCTCAGACACCACAGCCAACATGGCACAGGCTCCAGTTCCCCTTCAAGTCAGATGTATGTTGCTCTGTTATGTAACTTCACCAACCAGCCTAGTCTCTTTCCCCAGTTGGTCACTGCCTGGGATTCAGTGTGTAAATCCAATGTTGCATGTCTTATGTATAACTGTTAAAGGATTTTATTTTGTGTATTATATCTATATATCAGTAGTGTACATTGCCATATAATGTAAAAAGGAAACATCTACCTGTGCACAATGTAACCAAGTGTCAAACCAACTACATCACCAAATAAACCTTGAACAGTGACTACTCTGTTAATTTATTGAGATATTAAGTCATAGGGCTGGGGATTTAGCTCAGTGGTTTCGCTGCCTGCTGCACAAGTGCAAGGACCCAAGTTCAATCCCCAGTACCAAAATAAATAAATAAATAAATAAAGAGAGATATTAAAAAAAAAGATTTTTTTGTAGATGCCAGGGACACAGAGCCCATTAGTAAGACACATAAGATGCTCTTTGCATGGGAACCTTCAGCAAAAAATATGGAAACCAGTGTGCTATGTGCTATAACAGATGCAACTGCAAAGATTTACAGGGAGATAAATTAAATTTGCAGAGCAGGAAGACAGTCGGAAGTTGGAACTTATGCCAATTTCCTAGCTTGTAAAATAGGAAAAAAGAAAGAAACAGTTACTTCACTCAAGTTATATATTCACACACATCTTTGTTATCAGGAACAGTGGGAGAAATGTATCACTGAAATATTGTCAAGTACATATTACTAAATTGTCAATTCGCCAGCAAAATTTGAAATACTGCAAATCATTTTTCTCAAACAAAACAAAAATTTTCAAGCATTGAATATTTGATGTCTCACTTAGAGAGCAAAATTTTGCAAATTTTAACAGGATGCTACCAAATCAGCTAGTAAATAAAATAATTTCCAAGCTTCCTCAGCATTTATTTTAAATTAACTGAATAGTGAGAATTCTCTGAAATAGCATGGTTTCACATATTTAAATTTTTAGGTTTGATAGTCATTGATAAAATTGCAGAAAAATAGCGGATCTCTTAAGTAACTAAGTGAATAGATGTTTTTAAATAAATTACAATTCTCCACTTCAGAAGGAGAAAACATGTGATTAAATTCCATGCTTTTGAAACCAAAGCTTAATGACATGTAGGTTTTCTTTATAATCCTTCTCTGAAGGACTATAATTGTGTCCTTGGAAATTATACTTCAATTGGTAGTTCTAATCAAAAAACAGGTTTTCTGCTGTTATTTTTCTAATTCAAGTCAGTTTCACATAATTAGTGTTAAAAACTCTGACATGCAAAAACTCCATAGTTTTGCCTAACTTTTGGACCAGTAAAACTTGAACTGTGGAGTATGAAGAACTAAAGTAAAGAGGTGCTGTCCTATAGGAATTGATGTCTCACCTCTCAGCCAGGTTCAGTACCTTCTGGTGCTGTGAGAATCAAGGTTAATGATGAACTGCAAAGCCAGCCTCCATGGGGCTGGAGGACTGAAGTCCACGGCATAAGTTTAGAAAGGAACTAAAAGGTCTCACTTGAATTCTGCCCCAAAGTAATTTGCTGTTTTTGTTAGTCAGCTTTCTTATAGCTGGGCTGAAATAGCTGTCACCCACAACTTTAAGGAGGAGAAGTTTATTCTGGCTCACATTATCAGAGGTTTCAGTGCCTGTCAACTGGCTCCAAGGCAGGAACATCATGGTGGAAGGGTGTGGTGGAGCATAGCTGCTTAGTTCATGGAGGCCAGGAAGCAGGGCACAGGGGAAGAGGTCCAGTGAGAGATAGCCCTCCAAAGGCACACTCTCCAGTGACCCATCTCAGACTGGGCCTCACCTCCTGGCTGCACATTCAGCTATGAACACCAGTGGATTGATCCACTCATGAGTGTAGTGCCCCATGATCCAGTCACCTCTCCAGGATCTCTTGATTCAGCCAAATTGGCAATTAAGATGAAGTGGCAGTGTTTTTATGCATACTCTCATTTAAATCATTTGTGTATTTCTGTGCCCTGAATTATTAGATATCAAGGAGTATTATCCAGTTATGAAATTAAGGAGTTAGACCATAGGAACAAGAACTTAGTTGAGCCTGACTCTCCAACTGAGTTTCCTAGAACCAGAAGGTTTTTGTAGCTGTGCCAAAAAGAAATGGCATTCCCAACTTGGGACACAGCCTCTACACCAATGCCGAGAAATGTACAAGCACATGACTCACTCCAAGGATGGCAAGTGACTTTATCCAAAGCTTGGAACCATATCTGGAAAGAACAATAAATTAGGCTTGGAAAATACTTGGTAACAATCCAGCACATTTATAGAACTTAGAAAGTTGATTTTAAAATTCTAAATTTCACTTGGAAGAATAAATTTGAAGAAGTAGCCAATGCAATTTTTAAATACAGAAGGTGGGAGAAGGGGAGGGGAAAGAGACATAAAAAAAGAGTAAAAAGTGTTATGTACATGTACCAACTCCCCATGCTGAATGCAATCATTATGTTTTATAAATAGGTACTAATAAAGAATGAAAGAATAAAAATTATTTTAAAAGAGTGTAAATTGGGAAGGGAAGTAGTTTGGCAGAATTTACAATTTAAATGCATATATTTTAGGATTAAGGAATCATGTTTTTAGTTCTCTACCCTCCTCTTACCTTACACAGACTAAGACATTAAGACATGCAAATAAAAAGATATTTACTGGAAAAAACCCTGAAATAATCAGTCAGAGAATTAATATATACTTGGTCTACAGAATATACTGCAGAAATTTTTTTTGCTTTGTTTACATTCTGGTTTGCTTTTTTCATCTTTTATTTTCAGTACTAGGATTTGAAACCAGTGAGCATTGAGCCCTTTTACTGTTTTTATGTTGAGACAGGATCTCACTAATTTGCTTGGCAAGACTCAAATTTGCCATCCTTCTGCCTCAGCCTTCTGAGTAGCTGGGATGACAGCTGTGTGCATTGTGCCCAGCTTGTTTTGCTTGGCAAGTGAAGTAGATTAGCAGGTACGGGGGCATGGACAGTATTCTACAATAGGTCTGCAACACACCCCTGAAGCTCAAAAAGAAGCTGTGTAAACATTTAGCTATGACATGAGACCAGACAGCCAAATGAGGAGTAACAGGCAATGGCAGGTAGAAGTTAGAAGGACAGAGTTGAAGCAGACTAGTTTTGAGTAAAAGCTAAACCCTTGCTAGCTGTGTGGCCTTGGGAAAGTTGCTTAATCTCTCTGAGTTTATTTCCTTTTCTATACAATGCAGATGATAGAAGCACTTAACCTCACAGGGTGACTGTGAGTGTTAAATAACATTTAACAGGTAAAACACTAAAGAGGGCAACTTCTGTACTGCTGGTACCCTGTGTGAGCTACACTGTGTGTCCTAATTTCAACATGAGGAAACACCACTAGCTGAGAGCCACAGTAGGACTTATTTTGCTTTGCAGAGGGGATTAAGAATGGTTTATGCAGGGAGTATTTACTTGTAAATTTTTTTTTTT